GGGGAAAGCTAATAGCAATCACCCCAGACTACTTAGAGAGCTGGCTGAAGAAATCTCAGAGCTGTTAGTGGTTATCTTTAAAAGCTCAAGGAGCACAGAAGTCCAGCAACTGGCAACAGTGGTATCTATCTTTTAAAAGAGAAAGGGGAGATGGAAAGGGAGGAAGGAAGGAACAGCCAGGGAATTATAAATCCATCAGTATCAATTCCTGGAAACATACTGGAACAAATAAACTATAAACTCCTGCAAGAAAACAGAGAGAAGAGTAACAGCCAACACGGATTTGCCAAGAACAAACTTTGAGAGAGCAGCCCAGTTTCCTGTTATGGCAGGACACTAGGCCTTACAAAGGGAGGAAAAGCAGCAGATGGGCCTCTGTCACAGGGCATTCTTGCAAGATTTAACTAAAGTGCCTGTAGGTGGTCAGTAAAGACAATTATCCACAGCTCCTGCCAAGAAAGAACACACTGGGTGGAATTCAACAGGGGTCTACCTGGAACAGAGTACTGTTTGATGTATTAATTCATAAGCTTACTAAATGCATAGAAATTATACTTATAAATTTGGAAACAATATGCAGGAGGAGGACGGATGACTGCAAGCCTGTTGGGGAGCAGAACTCTTAATTCATAATGATCCCGACAAACTGGGAAGATGTGAAAACAACAGGATGTCATTCAGCTGGGACTAATGTAAGATTGTACGTTAAGGCAGAAATAGGGAATTGTACAAATGCAAGAAGAGGAATGATTGTCTGTGTATGCAATCTGTACCATCTTGCTGTGGACTGCAAACCAAATGTGTACAATGTCACTCTGTTGTGAAAAACAAGATACTGCACTACGATGAGCAAAGAGCATCATGGCCTACAAAATTAATGAAGTAATCTCTTTGTTTTCATCAGTGCCAGCCCTCAGCAGGAGAACACATGCTGTTCAGGGCACTGCACATCCCAGTGGATGCAGACCACCTGGAAAGATACCGGCAGTGCACAATAAGGACAATCAGAGGTTAGAAATCACGGCCCACAAAGAGATATCAAATGAGCTGGGACTGCTGCAGGAAGGAAGGGAAAGACTAATCTGTCCTCAACATTCACTTTGTATGAGACAACAGAATAGAGCTTGTATTGCTGTGAAGGAGCTTTAGTTTAGACATCAGAGGAAACCTTTTAAGATCAGGATGGCAATGCACTGAATCAGATCACCCAGAGCAGTGTGAAGTCTCATCATTACAGAGCTTTAAAAACAGGGTAGAAAAATAGAAATGATACAGGGTGAATTAATTCTGCCTTGCAGCATGGGCACAATTAAATAACCTTCTATCTACTCTAGTCCCGTTTTACAGGATTTTATGAAATACCATATTTACAGTGTGGAAACTCCAAGCTAAACTTACACTCCTGTTTGCACACCTGAAGCTTCCACCACTCAACTGGGCTGTTGCTAGAAGGGTCATCCTACAGCTCGATCTAGAAATCCACACTGAATCCAGAAGTCATTTGGATTAAACCAGGATATTTTTCCTGAAGACTGATGAGCAGCTGGGAACAAGATGGAAAAATGTACAACCAAATTTCAAGATTTAGTTCAGATACTTGCCTGCAGGATAGACTGAGCTATCTCAGGATTCTCAGGACTGTCAAAATTCAGGAGCTGAGAACCAAATCCGTAGTAGTACGGCCCCATTTTATGCAGATCAACCACGTTGGCATCAGCGCTGAACACTGTCCTCCAGGCTTCCCTGTAAATCTTTGGCAGCTCCACAGAAATGATTCTTCTTTTACTGTCATGTAGACCTTTAGCAAGCCACAGAGGCACTTCCAGCTTTGCTCCCTGTATGAACAGGCAAAATCAAAAACTGTCCTTGCCATGAAAATGCATGTAAAGCAACCCCACAGCCAGATCTTTATTAATGGTCCCTTATTAACCTTTATTAATAAATACCTTTATTAACCCCATGGACAGACCCCACCTTTATTAATGAAGACCCTGTATTAGAAAGACTCAGTTTTGTTTTCGGAACAGTCTACTGCAATTGTAACACGAAACATTTAGAAACACTTTAAATACATTAATTGTTACTGCAAGACTCTGAAAGTGGATTATCTTCATTAATGTTGTATAATCTAATAATTGAGAGATTATTAAACACTGGAAGAAAGAAAACCATGCAAAACGCAAGCAATAAAAGTAAAAATAACTTTTAAAAAAAGTAGCTAGAAGCACAAATTTCCTTGCGGTGACCCCAAAAAGAGAGGCCCGCTGGGCCTGGGACACGCGTGAAGGGGCCCGCGCCGCCGGGACCCTGGCGGGAACAGTGGCCCCGCAGCCACCGCCGGCCCCGCTCCGCTCCGTCCCGCCCCGGGCGGGGGCTGCTGGGAGCCGTAGTTCCCCTCCGGTACCTCAGGGATGGAGTCGCCGGTGCCGACCCCCTGGCCCAGAGCGAAGGCCAGGCGCGGCAGAGAGCTCTCGGCGCGG